GACAAGCAAAATACCTACGACCAAACGCCACTCTCGTATGCCGCTCAGAGTGGACACAAAGGAGTAGTGAAGATACTACTCGAGCGGGAAGAGGTCGACCCCGACAAGCCAGATATTTCCGGCCAAACGCCGCTCTCGTGTGCCGCTGAGTGTGGGCACAAGGGAGTGGTGGAAATACTACTCGGGCGGGGAGATGTCGACCCCGACAAGCTAGATAATTCCGGCCAAACGCCGCTCTCGTATGCCGCTTTCAGTGGAGAAGAGGCCGTGATGAAAATACTACTCGAGCGGGAAGCGGTCGACCCCGACAAGCCAGATAATTATGGCCGAACACCGCTCTCATGTGCCGCTTTGGCTGGGTACGAGGGAGCGGTGAAAATACTACTCGAGCGGGAAGATGTCGACCCCGACAAGCCAGATAATTTCGGCCAAACGCCACTCTCGTATGCCGTTGAGGGGGGCCACGAAGGAGTGGTGAAAGTACTACTCGGGCGGAACGATATCGACCCCAACAGGCCAGATGATAAGGGCCGAACCCCGCTCTCGTGTGCCACTTCGTATGGACATGAGGGAGTGGTGAAAATACTACTCGGGCGGGAAGATGTCGACCCCGGGAAGCCAGATAATGAGGGCAGGACCCCGCTCTGGTATGCCACACGCGGCGGACGTCAGGATATGGTAACACTACTACAGTCTCACATAGCAGTAACCCCACCGCAATTTGTGGCCTAGGAGACACTCGAAAACTACCGCTATTCCCTCCCTTTTGCAAAACATCACTGACGAAGGTTATCTACGGATAATCTCCGTTCCGAGGAAGAAAATCGGGTGGGATGGAAATGTACATATGTCATCATACCTGCTTCACCCTCCCCATGGGTCTGTTCTCATGATCGGGTGGGTTCATGAATTTCTTTTTACAAATTATAGTAGAGTTTGCCCGGTGCTGGGGAGTAGTTTTGTTGTCAGAAGGTTCCATTTACTCCTTGCGGTTTTCGTCCTGTCGTGTTTTAATTTTTCCCCAGCCCCAAATTCCTGGTTGTGCCGCCTTTTTTTTTTTTTCTTAAACAATTTTTCCTTTCACTTTCCTCTCTACCCATCCCCCAAGGATGGACTGTATCTAGTGTTTGTTTAGATAGAGGAGAAGCGACGTAATGCAATTGCGCAAGGACTTCCGGGGTGATTGTAGATCACAAGATAAAGACCGTGCCTACTATAGAGGACTGGCTACTATACTCGAGTAAGTGATCTGCCTTAACTTACTCCATAATGGGGCTTGCATAGCGTATCCTCTGAGCTCGGTCATGACCGGGCACTAGGCGTCTAGAGTGGGAGGACCGGTATCTTGCGAGTGATAACAGCTTCCAGGTGGGCCCTCCAACCAGCAAACAACGCTTTCTATAGAGGTTTCGGTCCCGACGGATTCACCTGCCCCCGTGGTACAGTAGTTTGTACCCGGGTAGGGTGAGTATGCACACTGGTCAGCTACAATTGAAACATAAAAATGTACCGCTAACTTTGGAAAAAACTCCTGTCACCTCCGCCATCACTCGTGACATCCCTCGCTTGCTTTGGCATACTACGGTTGTTGTCATATGTTCTCGGCGCTTTCATTATCACTAGCCTAGCCTGTACTACTGTAGGATACTGGCCTGCGAAGATGGGAGGCTTTGGGCTGAACTTCAGTGTGCCGGAGCCTTTGGTTACGTAAAGAAAGTACTGTACTGCGTAGGGTGGGTTCCAATTTTTTCACATGGTCACAAACTGTGATACAGGTACTCAAGTACGGTTCAAGTCCACATCGTCGCTCTACCAAAGTTCCTTCAATATTATGTAACCCTAGAGCTCCCTACTCACAGCATGTTCCCAACTGCGCAATGTTAGGTTTTGATTTTGGCCCCTCATTGAAAACATCACAACTTCTTGATTGTTTTTACCAGAGCATCCATTCAAAAAATGCCGCTCAATCTTTATGAGGTTCGTTTTAAACATGGTTTTCTCCTCTGAGGAAAAATTCCTTTTCTTGATCCCCTCCCTCTTTACCGTTGAGTCCGGTGTATTATGTGTACAGCACAGAGCTACCGGTGTGGGAATGTCTCGGTTGGCTTCCGTATTTTTGGATGGTGTGATTGACCGAGCTGACACCTGTGCAATTGTGATAACCGTACAACGTAATACTCAATCGGATAAGAGTGTAGAATTATGCTGATAAAGTTGACAGTAAAACACAGTGAGAAAGCAAGAGAAAAGAGTGGGGAAAACGACACCCAGAAACAACAGTAAAGAAGGTGGTGGAGTTGGTTGTACAGGATAGGTTCTCACTGTGTCGTTCCTCCGCTCTCTCTGAACAAGGCAAGGCCATGCCTCCTGGTGAAAAAACAGCCACCTGCTAAGCCTCATCCCAAACAGAAAATTCTATGGGTAAAAACCCAGAAAACATGACCAGAAAACCCCTAAAACCTTCCTCGCACCACACCGGTACCATGCATGATGCTTGTAGCTATGTGTGCCACGGGTTCTGGAACTGGTAGCATGTTCTTCAATCTTAGAAGCGCCGGCACTAATTAGCGCGCTTACCAAGCTCTTCTTAATACTTGCACAAGAATAAATAAGCTGGCGGAACAATTGATAAACGGACATATCATAGGAGAACACGAAGAAAACAAGTGATGGTATGGTATCATCCTTTTGCATCATCCATAGACTGTGTATTTTCACCCTACCCTTATTATTTTACCATGGTTCTAAATTTACCCTTGGTTAGCTTCACAAGATGTCTCCAGTGGACTTGAATGGGTCATTAGACTTCTGCGCCAGCACCAAAGGTTGGTGGGAAAGTTTCTCAGAGAGCGGTTACAACTTGAGGTAGGATCGCATTGCGGGGTATACCGGTATCCTATCTGTACTGGGAACATAATCCGGTTCGTGAATGTACTGCGTAATCACGCTCCATGCCCTGGATGATCACGATGCAGGGAAACCGGTTGTGCATTCTTGGTTTTCAGAGCCTTTGTAAGAGTAGGTTCCCCCCACCCCAGCCACGAGATGAGTATGCAGAGGCCTGCCCCCTTGCAATTAGATATTGTTTCGCCACAGCAAGTAGCAATGACAATAATACCGGAGCCCCTTCTGGTCCCCTCACATATCGCACAGGAGTTCTATGTCTTGAAGCTAGATCTCAAACTTCAGCCACTTTTACCAGAGTAACTCGTTCACTTGCCTGGAAACTCACCCATCGCTTCTTGGTTGGATGGAAAGATTTCCCAATCTATCAAACACCTTTCTGCGCTCAGGGAGAAAACTGATGATAGCACATCGAAAGTACTTGTTACCCCTGAGCTGAATGCTGGAAAATCCATATTTTGTAACAGTGTGCGCAAGCGGCCAGTCCGTCCAGGATTGAGGTCCAGGGTGGCCGGCCTGGGTTTCTTTGGTGGCCGGCTGGGCCGGACTGTAGATATCTACAGGCTTTCGGATGTCCACGGGCATGTCCAGATATCTTCGGGGATCTTCAGATATCTACGGGCATCTTCAGATATCTTTGGGCATCTCCAGCTATCTGCGGGCATCTTCTAATATCAGCAGGGATCTTCAGATTTCAGCTGTGCACAGACGAAATATTTACTCATCAGGTGGAAATTGCCGAGAGCCTGCCGGTGCCCCCGGGCATCCATGTTGCCTGCAGGCTTCACAAAAGCTCTACATAACATAGGCGCATTCGGGATCATCAACACATCGTACCTACTCCTCGTTAGTAATCCACTCCCGAGATTCCCCCCCCCCTACGTAGGTATCAAGACTCTCGTCCGGCTGTACTTGTCCAAAGATACATTTAGAGATCCTTGGTGCATTTGGGTGGGGAGAGCAATATACCAGAGATCGGGTATCTGGGGAGACGCTCTCCCTATCTAGCCACGCTGCATATCCCCTACCCACGGTACCGTCCCGTAAATTCCGTACCCTCTCCAAGCTCACCATGGTGGAATTAGTCCTTGGACCATCATTGAGAATCCTCCGGCCTGTAGAGGAGGATAGCATAGCATCCCGGAGCCTGTATATCAAGTATCCCATTGTCTGTTGAAAAAGTGGCCCACTTTTAGCGTTCCGGAGAGCAGGGGTGTTCCTGCATTAACGTGATGAAGACCGCTACAATACAGTAAATATTACCTCTCGAACCTTATCCTCTTATGTTACGGTATCCAAAACCGCATTCTCTTTGGAGAGCGGGCCACTTTTAGTGCATACCTAGCTTTACGCACTGCGTTACCTAGATATATTAGCAGGGTATAGGTCTTAGGTATCAGTCGACAGGCCCACACGGTATAGATATGACGCTGGTCAAACTGGTTTAGTGGGCTTCGTAAGGGTCCCGTTTTGATTAGCGCCCTTCTTGGAGTGGCCCACTACAATCTATAGGATACTGTCGCCGTGCCTCCCACGAGAGCTGCGATCAAGTCTGCCTTATATTAGCACTCTCGGTAGGGGGTGGTTATTCGGGCCGTATAAATAAAGAACAAAACAACTACCGCAGTTGGGGATATAGGCTGAGCTGAAAAAGTAAAAGAAAATACCCCCTCGTTGGGGGTTCAACAGCGACATCACCGTCAAACCCACCTCAGTGACAATCCTCTCTCAGGAAAACTGAGCGGAACATGATCCTCGCAATTGGGTGGTCGAGATGGGGAAGTGAAGGGTGAGAATCGGGATGCGGAGCCAACCTTGGGAAACTCCCTCCTAATGACCGGCCCCACCAATGAATTCATCGTTGGCGTTGGGGTTGACAATGGCAGGTATCATATGCGTGATGTGCTGTGACCCGATGTCTCAGGCATTCCAACTTACCCTAAGCCCCCCCCCCCCCATTTTCTATGATATGTGTCGTGGTGCCGAGGTCTTCCTTGCTTCAATCAAACCAACCATTGTACTGTATGATACTATTCATATAACGGAACCATGTCGGCCAGTCTTATCGGCATAACGATATCGGCCCTATAGGAACTATGAGGCAGACACAGAAGGAGATGGTGAACTTCCCCAGGAATTGGACTCAGGGATAGTGGGAAAGTCATTTGGCTAGTTGTATTTGTTTTCAAGTTGCTATATACAATAGTTGGTTAATTTGAATGATAGTGGCAGTATGTAGAGGTATCGTGGCTACTCTAGACTCAAGCCTCTTGGCGGCTCGAGCCGGCTCGTGAACAACACTATGAGGGAGTTTCATATGGGACTTAAAATGGTCGAAGATGCGGACTTGGTGATTGTGATGGGGAGTTCATCGAGCATTTACCCATTTGTGGCGCTTCCCGGACCCACGAGGGAGGGGGTGGGCAGGGTTTTAATCAACAATCAGAGGGTGGAGGGATTGGTGGCCGGGCGGGCGAGGTGTACTTTCCAGGCAGGTGTGATCAGAGGGTGGGGAAGCTTGTGGCGGGCCTGGGGTGAGCAGAGGAACTGAGGGAAGTTTGGGGGTCGGATCGAGACGGGATTGGTGAGAAGGCGGAAGTGGAGGCTGTGAGCAGTGAAGATGCCGGACCGGTAGAAAGCATAGACGTGAAAGTCGGCCGCCTACCAGAAGAAGTTGAGCATAGCCTATCCGTCGTTGGCGCCTGGAAGCACAAGGTGATGACCAACCTGCCGGTTCTTCCGAGGATAGGACTGAGCTCGAAACTACCGCCTCGGAGTCAGAGCATCTGGTAGAGAAAGTGGATGGCGCGGGGGTCAACAATTATAACCAAATGTCTGACAACGGGGTGGGGGTGGTGATGTTTAGATTTACAGTTTTAACTTTGGTTGATTTTTTTCGGTTATTGTGGTATGTTACCTGGTCAATTGTTTTTTGTTAAGCAATAAGTAGGGATGATATACTTTGCATTTTTTACATTCGACGTTTTCTGATCGCGGGGTGCTGTGATACTGGTAAGAGACTGTTAGACAGTAAAATATAGCATCGGCCATCACGAGTGATCACTTTTGTCAAACAGTTGGATCCTACAATGCTCTGTTGTGTGTTCGTGAAACCCAAATTAGAAGCTACATAGATGAACTCTGCATTGCACTACCCCTCTATTATATGCTTAAATTACTGGCACCCGTCCACCTTCCCACACCTTCTACACCCCCAATCCTTCTTGTTTTCACTTCCTCATCACCAACCATGTGATGATGAGCGTGAGAGAGGAAAAAAATAAGAATAAAATGGAAATTGATTCCACCCGGGCCCAAACCGGGGACCACCAGTGTGTTAGATTGGTGTGATAACCAACTAGACCATGTGCGGGGCTCAGCTAGGCAGCGCCCTCAGTAAGGCACGGCATTTCTTGGCTAGCAAGAGCTGGTGTGGGAAGATGGTTTCATGGGAGGTTCTTTTCGTATCCCTTCTTCTGTTTTCAAGCACAGGGCTGACCCTGGGTCTATGTGAATCTTCAAATTCCTCCCGCCACCCCTATTATAATCAGTAAGCAATACGATGGTTGGTTACTACAAATGTGCAAGAGTGCATTCTCTAGAATTTCTATCACAAGAGGTAAGCGGAAAACAAATAAAAACTATAGTAGGAACCGAAAGGATGTGCTGTGTTAGAGGATGCGAGGTGTGTCATAATTTCTAAAGTTTAAGTCGTCTAGGAGATACTGAATGGGTGGAGGCTCTGTATAACCTTCATGTGTAAGAGGAGGCTTAGTATCGAGTTTTTTGTCCATAGTTTTCCTTCCTTTTCTCTTAGCAATACCATACAAGCGTATTTTCTTCCAAAACACGCTCTCAGATTTAGCTCAGAATAGTAACAAGAGGGTCAGCTAAACCCCTCTAATCGATAAGTAGACAAGCAGCCACTCAAGTAACATCAACCACAACTCATTGTTCCTACCTGAAAAGCACACCACCCACGGCTTACGGCAGGTTAAACGTACCTGAGGTGCAAATAGAACTTTGCGTTGCAACGAGAAATCACAGCCCAAGACCTAAAATTGACTAAGGCTGGGTAACTCAACAATGCTCGACTACTACTGTAAAAACTTGAATAATTGGCCCATGTACTATGAAATGCAGAATTCCCTTTTCTAAAGAGGGGGGGAAAAACACAGCAAAAACACAGCCTTATTCTCCCTCCTGAGACAGAAGAAAAAAAATTTTTGTTAACCATAGGTAGAAAGAAAGGTTCAACAGCATAGCACATAGTCCAATTATTCAAGTTTTTATAGTATAGGTAAGTCTTTGTCACAATCTAGTAGTATGATACTATATAAAACTTGAAGTAATTTCGGAGAGTAAAAAAGGTAATAATTATGAGTAAAATAAATATACTGAAAGAGAGCCTGAAAGATACATAATATATTTATCAAATTGGCTTAGTGTCATAAATGGTGACTAAGCAAGGCAGATTCTACATAGTTCAGAATTCTGAGCTATAGATATGTTAGGATTTTACATGACACGCACTAGTGTGCCATAGGTTATTATGTTTACCTGGTTATGACTCACAGTTGTAAGTCACATGCTGTTATGATTTTCACACATGACTCACACTATGAGTCATAGGTTTCACTGAGGTGGCATGAGTTGTGCACCTGATTTAGTTATTAAGTTTTGATTAGTTTAAGGTATGTGGCGTGGCAACTCATAGGAGTTGGCTGATGGATTTTATGTGACTCATAGTTATAAGTCACAAGGTTCGTCTAATGCAAGTTATGAGTCACACCAGGTGAAGAGCGACTATATAAAGGGTCACTAGGTCCCTGAGTATGAGCTCTTCACACATTCTTCTAGTTTATTTCCTACACTTACATTTTACCAATAAAACCCACCTTTATGCTCTTTAAGATTTATCTTAAGAAATCTAAGAATTGTCTTTCCTCCTACGGTGAACAACTAAGTCCTGAGTGAGGACTTAAAAGAAGATCAAGGTAATCAGCGTGAGAAGATAGTAGTCAAAGGACTGAACTATCAAGTAATATGTAGGTTATGGCCTAAGAACTATTATCTTTACAAGCAGTAAGAATAATTACCTGTTACACTGTCACTCTTGATAGGATTCCTAATATTAGAATATGTCTATAATGTGACACTAAACAATTACACCCCAGATCCCTTCAACAGAGACAGTGAAGGGAATTTGGGCATCTTAGAAGACAGTCTAAGACTAGGTGAATTGGAAGAAGCCTTGAGCGAAGTAAGATATCAATCTGTAAGAACTACAAGTCCAGTTACACCAGATCAAGTCACTCCCCCAAATACACAAGAAGTACCAGACACACCAAAACCTGAAAGAATGTCAGGACCAGCACTACCAGCTAGCCTACAGCCAGCTGGACCACCACTTTCAGCCATGATTCCCTACGAACAAGTGAAACAAATAATACGAGAAGCGATGCAAGGAGTGGGTCAAAGAGTAAAAGTCA